TGATTTTCACAAAGCACCTGTGAACGATGAAATGGAGGTCACAGAGCCAAGGGGCCAGGCAAAGAGGGGCACACCCTTATTAACCACCATCTCAAGAGAAGAGAGCCTGACCGGTTTGGCTCAGTGGATAGAGAGTCGGCCTGCGGACTCAAGGGTCCCGGGTTCGATTCTGGTCAAGGGCATGTACCTTGGTTGCGGGCACATCCCCAGTAGGGGGTGTGCAGGAGGCAGCTGATCGATGTTTCTCTCTCATGGATGTTTCTAACTCTCTATCCCTCTCCCTTCCTCTCTGTAAAAAATCAATAAAATATATTTTTTTAAAAAAAAGAGAGAGAGAGAAGAGAGAAGGGGAATGTGGAATAATAAAAAATTTTAAGAGAGCACAAAAATTAGGGAACAAATGAACTAAGGCAAAGAGAGGGGATCACAGCTACACAGGGATTTGCTGGCTCAGCACGAGTTCTGCCAACTTGAGTCCTCCACCTACTCCAAGCCATAGCATCCCTCTGCTCTTTGAGTTCCCAGAGCACTTACCCAAAGTCCACCCAATGTTAAATAGGTAAAGACCTTAGTGGGTCTGCACCGGGTCCTGCCCATATGACCCTTCCTCTCCAGCCTCATTTCGTCACCCCTATAGCCCTCACCTTTCTGGACTCCAGTCTTGTACCCTATGTTTATTAAATTGACCCTATGGCCTTTGCTCAGCCTCAAATGTTCCCTCTTTCCTCCGCAATGAACCATCCACTCCCAGTCTATGAGCTCCTCTGTTAGATGCCCTCATTCCATTGATTTCAGTGTGTGCTTATCTGCTCATTCAGGGATGTCTTCACTGTCACCTTCCCGGACAGCAGCTACCATGGCTAGTTTTGCCCACTGAATGGAGTTTCACTCTTTTTAACTCTTTTTACTTATGGGTGAGATGATTTCTCCACCTTACCCCTCTTTAATGAAGAGCTAGTATCAGTAGGTAGTAGTAGGATATTTCAAACTAGAAATCAAGAAGGAGTGAGTTTCCATATTTGCTCCACTCTTATATGGACTTCTCAATGTGACCTTGGGACCTTGATACTTCTCTCTCTGAACCTGTTTCCTCCTCTATAAAGAGTTTAATCCAGACAGTATCTGAGGTGCCTCCTTCTCCAACTTAGGATTTTAGGTCCTTCAATAGACTAAAAAGACAAAGCAAAAAAATAGAAAAAAATTTTAAAAAGCAAAGGAAAGGACGAGGTCACATTAAGAAAGGGAGAAGGCCGCATGGTTCATTGAGCCTGGGTTCATTGAGCCTGGGCTCTGTGTCTGAATCCCATCTTAGCACTTGGTCACCTTGTAACCTTGGGCAGATTGCTTAATGTCCCTGAGCCTTGACTTCCTCTTGTGTACAATGTAATAAGCATACTTCCCTCACAGGTCTGACTAGAGGATTAAATGAGATGATGTATTCTACTACAGGGAACATGGAAGTCTATAGTACATATTAGGTCCTTTCCGTCTTCCCACTGGCTGTCATGGAATTTTAAAGTGGATTATAACTAAGTAGGGCATGAGTTGAGACAAAGGCTTAGTTGTCTCTGCATGTTTTGGTTCCTGCACACTTGATTCCTCTGCAGAGGCTTTCTACCACTTAAAACAAACAAACAAACTTTCATTCCTGAAGAGTCACAGAGCTGCATTTCTCTCCTCATTCAAGCACTCCTATGAGGTTCAACTACATGCAATGATTTTAAAGTTGGTTCCAAAGATGTTTACAGATGTTTTCTGTCTTCATGATACAATGGCAAGAGCACGACTAAAGTCCCCATTCAGCTACCACTGTACATGTACTCAATTATACTGGTCACATTCACCCTTTCCTGTATGTCACAGAGAAACATAAGACCCTAGGTGCTTTTGCTCAATGGATAGAGCATTAGCCTGTGGACTGAAGAGTCCCAAGTTCAATTCCAGTCAAGGACACATGGCTGGGTTGTGGGCTTGATCTTCAATGAGGGGCGTGCAGCCAATCAATGATCCTCTCTCATTATTGATGTTTCCATCTCTCTTTCCCTCTCCCTTCTTCTCTGAAATTCATAAAAATATTATTTTAAAGAAAAACATGAGATTTCTTTGAAGGAGGAATGAAAGGGGGGATATTTTAAACCATTTCTTTTTTATCTCTCCCTTCTTCTTCTAATTCTTCTTCTTCTTCTAATTCTTCTTCTTCTTCTAATTCTCCTTCTTCTAATTCTCCTTCTTCTAATTCTCCTTCTTCTTCTTCTTCTTCTTCTTCTTCTTCTTCTTCTTCTTCTTCTTCTTCTTCTTCTTCTTCTTCTTCTCCTTCTTCTTCTTCTTCTCCTTCTTCTTCTTCTTTTTACAAAGTATCCTAGAATCACTGAGCAATAGGGTTTTGAGGCAGGAAATACCTCTAGAGATTATCTATTTCAGTCCTGTCACTTGGCATTGGTGGTGATAAGAGACTTGAGCATCTATATTCATTGGAAAGAGAAGATTTGACTTGGAACTTAAAAACTTGGGTTCCATTGCTTGCTCTGCCAATGTTATGGCCATAGGTTGGTCACTTAACCCCTTCAGGGGTCCCCAGCTATAAAAGAGGACAATAATCATTACTTCCCATAAGTGAAGTAAGGAACCAGTGAGAGCATGCAGCTGAGAGCTCTTTGTGAATGGTAAAGCAGTTTTCAAAGAAAAAGCATTGCCATACTCTTTGGACACACAGCCTTCGAGCTTATAAAGCATATCCACTCACCTACCAAATATATCATCTCATCTTGAATATCAAATTTTGTGAATCAAGAAAGAAAAATACTGACCCTAGCAAAACCCCTGGCACAGAATAAGTGCACAGAAATTTTTTCTGAAAAATTTAGGTGACAATGACTAAAGAAGGGTTTGTGAGGTCTCCTCAGAGTCAGGAGGTAGATGCATGAAGCTACCCAAAGTCCCTGTCACAGGACAGCCCCAAACATACTGTGGCTCCAGTGGAGCTCTACCTAGTATGGTCCTCTCTCTGTCCCCTGGAAACAGATGGCCTGGTGCAGAGGCTTCCTTACAAGTCAGCCTTTGTTCACACTCACAGAACAGTAGCTCCCCAAAACCACGCAGGGACCTCACCCGCATAGCTTGTTGTTTGAAAACTGGTTTCCAAGGTCACATGAAGGAAAAAGTTAGATGAGACCCCAACCTGAGTTGTCTGTCCAGAAAAAAAATATTCAAACTCTCCTTGAGAAATTCAACAACCACATTGAGGAATTCTCTTCAACATAGAATGCCATTGGCCAGGATGGGCGTTGCCACTGATGATGGAACCAACGGTATTTTCCTGGATTACCAAAGAGGTGTTGCATATACCTCCCAGAAACTAAATATCTTCACGGTTTCAATGGAGGTCTTCATCTAAAAGCGTCCTCCCGGTTGAAGATTTTAAACCAATATTTTCATGAGAACTATTTTTCCTTTGGTCAACCAAGGCGTTAGTTACAATGATGACTATACAGATTCCCGGTGACAGAGCCATCATTAGCATTGTTATTATTTTTGTTTCGCTGCATCTCCATAACAGCCCACAGTCACAATGTGCTCTGCAATCGCTTCTTAGTAATAGTCCTCACAAGATCTCCGGGAGGCAAAAGGGTGACTAGGGTTAACATTTCTGTGTTGCCTAAAAGGGAACCACGGACGTAGGTAACTGGCTACCAACACCATTTTTATAATGATCGTACTGAGACACCCAACCTCTGCCCCAATCTGGTCATACACTTACACTGCCTACATTCAAGGTGCCAGCTATTTCTGTAACTCTTGTTTATGGCTATTGAAACACCAAGTCTATCATCAGGAGGAACTGGACTGGGCAAAGGAATCAGAACCAGACATTTTGCACCTAGGATAGACCATGATCACCTAACCAGCTCCATAATGCACAGAACCAGAGAGAATGTTTTCCCCAACTCACACAAGTCACTTCCTCCCAGTTCTGTGCTTGAGTGCATTTTTATACCATGTTGCCATGCCTCACCTTTCTCTCTTTACCTTGTTTTTCTTCCTCTTCCTTCTTCTTCCATCCATTTCCTTTATTTAAAATTTTATGTGTCTTCAATTCCAACCAGGAAACCTAAAACAGGTATCTGCTAAGGCTGTGGTGTTGCACCACCAGAACTGGGCTAGTCTCAGAATACTGAGAAAGTCTGATCAGTGTCAGACATGAGTCCCTTCATTCTTGAATCTCGCCGCTGGGCTCTGGCCGGGGATTTGCCCACACCTCCCTAAGTCTGCAGCTATCCTCACACTCCTGGGGTTTGTCCCGGAAAAGACCAGACCACTCTTTGGGCTCTGGTGGAGGCTGTAACATGCCAGAGCCCAGCTTCTCCTGAAGCTGTCACTTCTGTAGGAAATGGGTTGATGGTATTCAGAGGAGTAAGAGGATGAAGACTTTGGTGGTTGAATGTCACTTTTGTCTCCTCTGACCTGCCCTAAGCAACAGGTTGTCACCCCATACTCTGAGTGATTTATGCCTATTCAAACAAACTCCTTCAGAAAAAAGTGGGTCTTCCTCCCTTAAGGACCACCCCTCAGCTGCCAGGGGCTGCCAACTACCCCATCCATTCATACTCAGCCACAGGGAGCAATACACAAATGAAGCCAAAACACAAACCACAGCTTCGAAGCTCCCCTCCAACTCTAGCCACCTATAATTCTGATTTCAGGAGTTCTCTTTCCCCTTCTATCATTGATTTTTAGAAACTTGTTAAGTATCCTATGTTTTCTTCCTTTTTTTTCCCTAAGACTATGTGTTTATACTTGTTTAGAGCAGAGCAATAAATACACAAAGCAAGTCATAAACTCTGGCAATCTGCAAACAGCATGATCAAGTTTATAGTCTGCCATTGTGAGGGTGAACGAACATAAAAGCATACAAGGCAAAATTCTTCCATGTGAATTCCCTGTGACGTACCCATGGCCACGCCTACTCCACAGAAGACAAAGGCAAAGGCACGGGACTCAGACTAAGTCTCCAGCCACAGAGGGAGTCACTGCACTGGCGCCTGAGTAGCTAAGGTATTGTCCTCATCACATCTTTGGCTTTTAAAATATTTTTTTCTTTGTATCCTTGACTGTCATCTCTCAAACTGCCTTCTGTGATGCTAAAGCCTTTTCCTTCCTTTCTTGTCCTTTCCTGATTTGAAGTGTGAGTTAGAATCACAGTCAGATTTTAGAAAATGATTCTCCCAGTGGAGAACTGAAAGACAGAGGAACTGGTTTCACTTAAGGGCAAGCCTTCCCTCTAGGGAACTCTGCTCCCACAAACTCTGTCTCTCTCTTGCATCTGTGTAAGATAAATGCCTCATTCTTGTGGTGTATGTGTGTTTTTAACTTATCCAAAGTTCGCTGAATGCCTCTATACATGCATTGAGTTGGACACATAAGGAATACTAAGATTCCAAAAGAAATTTATAATCTAGTAGAGGAGGCAGATGCAATGCAAATCATTTAAGGGAGTCAAAAGAAGAATGGGGGAAATGCTGAGTGTGGGCTAAGTCATGCATTACGTTTCTCAAGAAGCACACAGCGGAGGTGGTTCCCTGTGAAGGCATCTGGCTCAGGAACGGGCTGGGCTGACAGCCCCTGGTGTTCTCTGTTTCAGAAGTCAAGATGGCTCAGGTCCCTGACCTCTTTGAAGACCTGAAGAGCTGCTACAGGTAGGAAATAGATTCTCTTGTGATTCGATGAGGGGATCAAGGGGTTACAGTGACTAGCATGGGGCTGGACTGGCAGACACTGAAGAGATGTGTCCTAGCTCCCAAGTCACGGCAGCTTCAGCAAAGACCCAGGGCAACTAAGCAGCCAGCATGTTAAGCTGAGATGACATTGACAGGGAGACAGCTATGATAGAAAAATTATTTTTAAGGCTTGCTGAGTCCTAGTGAATTTCAACATCTACTCAGACATAGTCTCAGCTGGGATCACATGTCTGACAGTGATAGGCTTTAATGGACTGTCAGAGAGGGAAACCATTCTCAGAAAACTTCTTGATCTCAATCTGGAAGGGGAAATGGCTCCACAGCAGTCTGAGCACATGAGTGCTTACACACAGTCCAACCTCATCCAGACATAGGAGAAACATAAATGAGTAAAAAGGTAAAATTATAGGGCCTTAAGCTAGCACGGTGCTCCCATTACCTGTTAATATGCACTAACACACACTAGGCCATCCAGATGTTGTTTGGATGTGTTGCCAAGTATAAATGACTAGATCCATTTTAGTGAATACATTAAAGCAGGGTGTAACACCTATTTGGCTAAAATTAAAGTGAGGTGCTTCCAAAGTATTTCTTTTCTCTTGAGGAGCTTAACATTTTTCTCTAAAATTTAATTACAACTCTTCAATTTGTTAGTCAAGCTCTGTTTTTGTTGATAAAACCCAGGTAAAGTTCAAAGCCTGCCCTGATAATTACTACAGTAATTTCAAATTAGTGAGGGACGAATCACTGTATGGATGTCTGTTATAGAAGTCTTTCATTTTCTAAGATGACAGTAGTGGCTGTGTGTGTGTGTGTGTGTGTGTTAATGCGTGCGTGTGTGTGTGTGTGTGTGTGTGTTACCCAAAGATAATGTAGTCATTAAAATACGTTGCCCAGTGACTGTAATGATATAACAAACAATTACATTCTTATCATCTTGTTTGACAGTGAAAATGAAGAATACAGTTCCGAAATTGACCAACTCTCTCTGAATCAGGTAAGCCAATAACTGATTCTTACGGGATTGCTATTCTGACACTAGTGTTTTCTCCACCAGAAAAGAACCACAATGGCTCGAATCCTAGATGCTTCTGTCATACCCTCACAAGAGGTCCAGAGACATGTATCTGCCTCTGTGCACTGAGAGTTGATGGCCTTCTTCATGGTCACTAGAATTTACCAGAACAGAGCAGAACTATATCTAGAACCCCAAGAACTGGAGACTCTTGGCCAGGTTTCATCAGAATGTTATGCCATCCTGAGACAGCCCCTTTGGGATCTGTCTCCTAAAGAGATATGTTGGGGTCATCCTCTCTGACTCCAGCTCCAGAAATTAGTGGGAGCCCTGCAATGTAACAGCCCATGAAGCTGAGGTGGAGAAAGCAGGCCACCCACCACCTGTGTGATTTTGCTAGGAGACCGTCTGTGTGTATTAGGTACGGGCTCTAAAAGCTGTTCTCAGAGGACTATTTCTAGACTCTTTGCGCCCTACCAGTAAAAGTCTAACTTCCTGAGAGAGACCTAAATGGAGGGCCACCACTCACAAAGGTCTCATTTGTAAACCTGTTTCATTATACCTCATTTTTTTAGTTGGCCGATGGACGACAATAACCGGCCAAGAGGTCACGTCCTTTCAGGGAAATCCTGCGAGGAAGGGAGGCGGGAGGGAGAGGGGAAGACTGATGAAACATGGGTTAGCCAAGGCCAAAATGCAGCTCCTTCTCACTGAGTCTGTGGAATAAAACTCCTGCTGAAAGGACTCTCATTCTATGGCCGTGGGCAGCCTCTCAGGTTCTACTTCCCTTTCTCACAGAAATCCTTCTATGATGCAAGCTACGACCCATTTCCCAAGAACTGCATGGGCCAATTCCTATCTCTGAGTACCTCTGAGACCTCTAAGACATCCCAGCTTACCTACAAGGAGAGTGTGGTGGTGGTGGCGGCCAATGGGAAGATTCTGAAGAAGAGACGGTTGAGTTTCAATCAGTTCATTACCGATGATGACCTGGAAACCATTGCCAATGATCCAGAAGAAGGTAGGGAGTCAAGTTCAATAATATCCTTGTTTTCCATTTATAAGCAAATGTAGGGACAATAGAGTATAGGGGCAAATAAAACCTAAAGTCAGAGTAACAAGAAGGCAACCAGGCACTAGTCTGGAAACTATAAGGAAGGAAGATTAAATGATATCCTTCTCCAGCGGGCAGGAAGCAGCAGTGGCCTGTGTCTAAAATATTTGCTCACATGCTCATTTCATGGCCATATTGTAAAGGTCATGTGACTTTCAGGCCTTTGGCAGAAAGCATTTATACTCTGTTAGTGGGTATCAGCTTACAAGCTGCGTTCCTCCACATGCTAACTATGCCTCCTTGGCCAAATAACTTAACCCCTCTGTGCTCCAGTTTCCTCTACTGTAAATGGAGATCATCAGAGCCCCTACTCATTGTGAGGATTAAATGCATCAATACTTGCAAGCTTCTTGACTAGAAGAATGCCTGGCACGTAGAAAATACCCAGTAAATATCAGCTATTGCTGTTGTTGTTATTCTTACTATTACTACTGCTGCTACTGCCTTTATTAATGCTACCAACAATACCACTTTATTAATGGCTGCAATATCTCTACACTTCGAAATAACTCTACACTCTCATTTAACAGATGAGGAAACTAGGCTCAGTGAGATAGTCACCTGCCCAAAGTCACACAATGTGTAAATGGGAAAGCCTTAAACCAAATTCGGTTCTAACCATAAAAACCATGATTTCTCTCCCATGCCTCTATTCTACAACCCTCTATGCAAAACAAAAACCAAATATGTTTAAGGTAACAGCTAAACACTAGTACATGTTCACCTAGAAAATTAAGAAGTAGAAGAAAATGTAAGAAAGAAATAAAAATTACTCATACTACCACTAAGAGTTTACCACTGCCAGTATTACGATAAGTTGTTTCTATATACTTACATACACATGACCATGCTAGGATCACACTGTATACAATTTTATATCTAGGTGTTTTTTTCATGTAGGACATTTTAGAGTGCAATGTTTCACCAATATAAATAACGCAACAACAAACATCCATATCAAGAAACCATCACTTCTATTACCATTTACACCCTTAGAAGAGACTCCTAGAAGTAGAATTATGCAGAGCCATGAAAATTTGTGAAGCTACTGATTTACATCACAGCTCAGAGGGGGACAGACATTTAGATCTGCTCCCTCAGTAACATACAAAATTCTTAACGTATTTATTTCTTTACGCAGAGTGCATTCGGTTGAAAATATAGATGGGGATGCTAGAATTTTCCTGGTTACTTAGAAATCTCCAAACAACCAAAAATGAGGACATTGCACCAATAATCTCTTTTAAAAAAAAAAATATTGAGGCATCAAAGTTTAAAAAGAAATGATCCTAAAGTCCACTCTGCTACTGCTGGGTGCTTCCACTTCTCTGTTTCCTCATTTCCGTGCTTGTATTAGAGCAGACATGTCATGTGTTTGCACCCAGACACTAATCTCAGCTTGTGCTAATGATTGTAGAAATCCTCCAGCCCACGTCAGTACCTTACAGCTTCCAGGGCAACGTGAAGTACCCCTTCATGAGGGTCATCAAAAGGCATTTCATCCTGAATGACAACCTCCACCAAAGCATCATTCGAGACACATCAGGCCGCTTCCTCATGGCCGCCACGTTAAATAATATGGACCAAGCAGGTAAACAGACAACTCGGTCATCCTCCCTCCTCTTATTTCTGTATTTCTTTCAAGCTTTCTACTTTCAAAGAATACACCTCTCCAGACTCCTGGCTTTGCACAATTTTTCTAGAACAGAAGGATGCATATCACCCCAGTTAAAACCCCCGGCAAAGACAAAGCCTCAACCAAACCTGGGAGCCTCCCAAGCAGGTGTGCTGTCCTTGAGAGCACTAAGGGCAGTGTGCAGCTTTCTGATGGAGTCTCTCCTTTGGTTCTCTCAGTCTTATCCTCCTTTTAAAGATGAGGAAACTGAGTCTCAACAATGTTAAATGACTCACCCCGATTTACCCAGAACCGATGAGGAGCCATCACGCCTCATTAGGAAGCCTGCCAAGCAAACTTACAAATAACACCAAATTAGAAAGAGCCACTATCTCAATCATATAACCTAATTGGAGGCAAAACATCCGATAAGATGCAAATATGTTCTGAAGGATGAAACTTAGTGTCTAAGAAGTTTCATCACACCATTTCCATGGTGTACATGGTTAGCTTCAGGATATGTCATCATATACTAAATTATTTCCCAAGATCCACAGAAGATCCTCTGCAGTAACCAGCAGGGCTCTCTCTGATTGGACTTCAGCTAGCATGCTTCCCACTCTATGACAGTTACAAATCACTTGTGTTCTATTTTCACCAATTTCCCTATTAGAGGCCTAGTGCACAAAAATTTGTGCACTGGTGGGGGGGGGAGGGATGTCCCTCAGCCCCACTTGTGCCCTCTCACAGTCTGGGAACCCTCGGGAGATAACCACCTGCTGGCTTAGGCCCGCTCCCCAGGTGGCAGATGGCAGGCCAATCCCTAGGTGTCTGCCCCACCTCCCCGGGTCGCGCACAGGGCAGGGCCGATCGGGATGCCCGGGTGGGCTGGCGGATCACTGCTGCCCTGCCCAGCCGTCCCTGGTCGGGTTGCACACGGGATGCCCACCACCCAGGATGGCAGATAGCAGGCCCAGATGGCAGCAGGGCAGGCAGGATGGTGCTGTCCCGCCCTGTTTGCAGTATGCAAATTAGCCACCATCTTTGTTGGCAGTTAATTTGCATATTGCGCTGATTAGCCAATGGGAGGCGTAGATTAGCCAATGGGAGGCATAGCGAAGGTATGGTCAATTACCATGTTTGTCTATTATTAGATAAGATATATATATATATATATATATATATAGAGAGAGAGAGAGAGAGAGAGAGAGAGAGAGAGAGTCGGGTTTGCTCTAAGTAATTCTGTTGCAAATATCTTTGTTTATGTACATTTTTTCCTATGAGGTTATTTCTTTAGAAGAGCATATCCCAAAAGTGGGACTCCTAGGTTCCTAGGCATATATAATTTTACAACTCTTATTAGGCTTTGTTCTTAAGAAAAATTTAACTGCTTGTCACTAACACTAGCAACATGGGTATCAGCCTCCCTAAACCCCTCCATCTTAGGTCATTATGAACTCATGACCTCACATTACAGTGTCTTATCCCACTAATGTAATTACAAGAGATTTAATAAATATTCAGCCCCCAAGCATTCATTAGACTTAGAAGATTCTAAGAATATTAACCAAGTATCAATCTGCCTAGTAAATATGGCAGACATTGTAAAGGACACAACAGTGTGCCAGATTCCATTTCTGGCACTTACACCATAGTCAGGGACCTAATACACACACACAGGCACATACAGAGTATCTACATAAACACTTGATTCTATGCAAATACCATAGGTTTACTTTCTTTTTGGTTTTTCTCTCCACAGTGAGATTTGACATGGGTGCTTATAAATCAGATGACCTTAAACGTCCTGTAACTCTGAGAATCTCAGACACGCGACTGTTTCTGAGTGCGCAAAATGAAGGCGAACCCGTATTGCTAAAGGTCAGTTGTCCTCTGTCTCTACTTACCTTCTCATACATTTGTCAATGACTCCAAAAGGCAGACACTCCTAGCAGGGTGCACAGTCCTCTTCCTACCACAGTCCCCACCTGCTCATCTGACCCCATCCTGCTTCTCACCCATCCCCAGAGGCAATTCTAGGCAGAATCTGTGGGAGAGTAAAATGAAGGTGCAAGAGTGTATAAGAGATAAATTGCCTTCTTCCTTCTTTTTTCTTTCTCTGCCTGATCCTGTTCACCTCCCATCCCAGGACATCCATTTATTCAAGCCACCTTTGATCCTTACTGACATCTACTATCTGGCTTACATTATTTAGACATTAGGATGATGGGCCTGCCTCCAAGAAACTCAAAAAAGTCAACTGAGATCAGAGAGGATTAATCATGTGCCAGCAGGCACAAGGCAGAAAACTGGAGCCAACACTCAAACCCTGGCCTTCTGACTCTAGTGCCTCTCTCTCTTCATTAGTGCCCACATTATCCATCATCCCATCAACTACCACCTTCCCCCACAAATACACAGATGCCTACTTTAGTCTTAGAGTTTTTTCCACTGATAAGTAGGTGACTCTTATTCATAAATGTATAATCCAACCCCCCCACCCCCACTAGGATTTACGTGGTGCATGTGTTTCTCTACCTGGATCAAGTTAAAGGAAAGTGGTGTCAGTAGCTTCATTCATGAAGTCATTCAGTAAGCATTATTTGCTGACAGCCTTCTGTCTGTCAAGCATAGTGCCAATAGCGGTGTAGACAGTGGTACACCAAAGTCCCTAACCTTGTAGAACTTAGTCTCCTGGGGACACAGTCAATAAACAAACCAAGCAACCAGTACAACATGCAAGATGCTGTAAAGCAAATGGACAAGGTACCGAGATAAAGAAAAGTGGGAGTTCTCTTTAGATAGAGAGGCAAGAATAGAGCTCCCTGTAAGATGAGAGCTGCTGATGGGAGGGGGGAGCATGCCATCATATAAGGTGAGGGGAAGGGGAGAAGGGCATTGTAAACAGAGGGGTCTGACTGATCCCAGGCCCTAGATCTTTAAGAGCTTAAAGGCTAGCTTCAAAGATCAGGACACTCTAGGAGCTGGGCACCAAGAGGAGGAGGGAAGAAAGGCAGAGGCTGGTATTGGTGGAGCCTTGCATTTGGATTTCATCTGAGGAACAATAAAAAGCCATTAAAGGGAATTCATTTATATTTTCTAAAATGGAGAATAGATCAGAAGGAAGGCAACAGAGGAAGCAGACAGCCCAAATAGGAGGCAATAACAATAGTCATGGGGTGGGAAGTGCTGAGACAGGTGGAAAGCAGTAGACAGAACCTCATTACATTTTGAAGACAGAATCAAAAAGAGCAAGAGGAGAAACTCCACTTATTGAGATGAGAAAAATTAGGAAAGGAATAGGTTTTGGAAATAAAATCTTTATTGACATTAAAAACCCCAAGGAAACCTCAAAAAGAATATTTAGTTCCTTTAGATCAGCGGTTCTCAACCTGTGGGTCGCGACCCTTTTGGGGACCGAACGACCTTTTCACAGGGATCGCCTAAGACCATCGGAAAACACATATATAATTACATATTGGTTTTGTGATTAATCACTATGCTTTAATTATGTTCAATTTGTAACAATGGAAATACATCCTGCATGTCAGATATTTACATTACGATTCATAACAGTAGCAAAATTACAGTTATGAAGTAGCAACGAAAATAATTTTATGGTTGGGGGTCACCACAACATGAGGAACTGTATTAAAGGGTCACAGCATTAGGAAGGTTGAGAACCACTGCTTTAGATTAAAAAGAGTAGAGAAGTATCTCAAGTTAGAATTTGAATTTTACTTTTTCATGAAAGTATTATTAAATTCTATTCATAACTACAAGAAAGATACAGTTTAAAGAGATCACAATCATCAACAATTTTATAGAAAGGATTCAGCTGCTAATATACCTGTGTAGTGGTGTGTGTGTGTGTGTGTGTGTGTGTGTGTGTGTGTTTTGATATTTTTTCAACCTTCAATTGTTTATTCAAATACAGACATAAACATTTTTACATTATACATTGTTTTCCCAAAAGTATGATTTACATGCTTAGAGGTCAAAATTTTTAGAGGTCTTAGAATTGCTAGTGCTTAGATTTGATGGAAAATGTCTTATGCTTGTGTTGGAGGCAGGACAAGAATGACGTTTGACCCCACCTGCCAGGATACAGGGAGACACTGGTGTCATTGGCAATCTTCATGACTAATTTGGATTTCTCTCCAGTTAACTAAGGAGATCAACTATTATGAATAGATGAGGCCATACATCTAATAGGCATGTAATAAATGCTTGCTGAATGAACAAATGAATGAAGAACCTACATAATATTACAGAGTCAGAATCCTAAAGTGCTATGTTTCTCAGTAAGGCTACATGCCCAAGGGATTGAACTTTGATTCTTGTTCTAGCATCTTATCCTCTAACAACTCTGTCCTCCTTATCCTAGGAGTTGCCTGAGACACCCAAAATCATCACAGATGAGACCAACCTCCTCTTCTTCTGGGAATCTCAGGGCAGTAAGGACTACTTCGAGTCAGTTGCCCATCCAAAGCTGTTTATTGCCACAAAGCAAGAATACCAGGTGCACATGGCAAGTGGGCATCCCTCTATCATTGACTTGCAGATACTGGAAAACTACGCTTAACTCTGAAGTCTACTTACTTGTGAAATGCTGACAGCCCATATGTACCGTGTACATGAAGAAGTCAAATCCTTTGCTCTTAGTCACTTGCTGAGCATGTGCTAAGCCTTCGTAATTCTAAATGAATGTTTACTCTCTTTGCAAGAGAGGGAATAAGGTCTAGTGAACCAACACTAATATATGATATTGCTTTTTATTTAAGGAACACCCTATACTATGCAAAGTACCAATCATTTTAACTATTATTATTCATCACAATCTTGGGATGAATAATAATAATAATTATTATTAGACAGGTAGAGTCTTTTTGGTAGTCAAAAAGACTCTACCTGTATTACATACAGGTTAACTAAGGCACAAGAAAACTAAGAAAGGCCCACAATGGCAGTTGGAATGAGAAGCCGTAGACCCAGGATTTCATTCCATCTGCTTGCCTCCTGCTATTAAGTTGCTGATGGATACTTAATCAAATACCAAAAGTTTCTGGGACTTCATTTTGATCATCTTCAAAATGGAGGGAATGTCCTTTCTGCCTCAACAGTATTTTATGACAATCAATGAGATCATTTCAGTAAAATGCTTCTTGAAGCTGAGCCTTAAGAATAAAGCAAAGCATGGAATGTTAAGTTATTATTTATATACTATTGGCCCGGTGCACGAAATTCATGCACTGGGGATGGGGGAGGGGTGCCTTAGCCTGGCCTGTGCCCTCTCTCAATCCGGGACCCCTCCCTCCTTACCGCCCACCTGCTTGCTGCTTCCTACTGCTCCGCTTGCAGCTCCTTAGTGCTGCCGCGAAGGCTCCCGCCACAGCCGCTGTACTCGCCAGCTGCCCTGGCCCCTGCTGTGGGTCTGAGCTCCTCTGTTACAGCAAAGGTTTGGGTTCCATTCTGCCAGGGCACCTACTTATGTTTCGGGTTTGACCCCCGGTTGGGGCTGACTGCTGCTCAGGAAGTGACTGAGGACCGTGTGCTCTAGTCATTCGGTGGGGAGCTGGGGTTCCATTGCCAACCTGGCCAACTCTGATCCCCGCTGTCCCCACTCCTACATCAAGGACGACTTCAACTATGGCAGCTGCATGGCCTCCGCCAGCGTACACATCCGCATGGGTAGGTCACCCTCTCCTTGGCTCGCCAGGCATGGCTGCTGCAGTCACCCCACAGGTGGATGTCTGGGTTCCCAGGGAGAGCGCCCTCCATGCCAGACCCCAGGGAGAGCAGGGTGGGAGGGAAAGCACTTCACCTGGAGGGGAGCACCCGTCCTGTGCAGGACTCGCAGGGTTTGTGTCTCTGATCCTGCCCTCAGCAGCCCCAGTGCCGAGGTGGCGGGCTTTGGGGCTGCTGGGTGCTGGCCCCCCCCTGCGGGTTTGTGTCTCTGATCCGGCCTCCAGCAGCCCCAGCACCAAGGTAGTGGGCCTTGGGGTTGCTGGGTGCTGGGCCTGCTGGTTTGTGTCTCCGATCAAGCCCCCAGCAGCCCCAAAACCACCTCAGAGGGGCTTGGGGCTGCTGGGTGCTGGGCTCTCCTGTGTTTTTGTGTCGCTAATCTGGCCCCCAGCAGCCCCAACAACCCCCGCACCGCCTAAATAACTTAAGGGAAACTTTATTTAGTCTTCTTTTAAAAGCAATCTAGTTTAAAAATGAGTTGCAGTTAAGAGAGAACAAAGAGCCCTAGCTGGTTTGGCTCAGTGGATAGAGCGTTGGCCTGTGGACTGAAGGGTCCCAGGTTCAATTCTGGCCAAGGGCACATGCCTGGGGTGCGGGATCAATCCCCAGTAGGACACCTGCTGGAGGCAGCCTATCAATGATTCTCATCATTGATGTTTCTCTCTCTCTCCCCTTCTCCCTTTCTCTCTGAAATCAATAAAGAAATATATATTTTAAAAAAAAGAGAGAGAGAACAAAGAACATGGTAGCTAAGAGTGAGATAGACAGACAGAGGAGAGGCTGGGCACTGGTCAGGGGCTTACATGCCAACTGCTCTCCACCTGGGAAATGATGTAAAATCCGTTTCTTTAGTTTTCTGCTCAATGGTCTTCTCCAGCGAGTGGAGTGGCATCTGCTTGCTTCTCCCTGGGGCCTGGCTTGGTGGTCGCCTTGGGGTCTGGCTGCACTCCAGTGGGCTTCGCACGGGCCTACCTGCTCCGCCTGGCCCTGTCCACACGTTGCTTCCTCCGAGTCTTCCTTGGACACAGCCCCGGTCCATCACCTCCTCCTGTGTCTCGCATCGCTTCCACAGGGCCGAGAAAGAGGCCCACACGGAGTTCAGGTCTGCAGGGAGCTGGTCCTCTGCTTTCAGAACCTTTGGGATCTTTGCTTGCAATTGTTCCCTTCCATGACCTTCCTTCCCTACCTCCAGCGTCTTCCCGGAGCACCACATGCCTGCCCTCCAGCAGCAGGTTGTCTTTGTGTGGCTTTCAGGGCAGCCTTCAGGGCCTGGTGGCCACACTGCGGCCCTTCCGCATTGGGCACTGGGCCTGAGGCCCACCTGGGAAGGCAGGCAGCTCCCCAGCAAGTCCCACTGCACCAGGCGCACATGCGCCCGCCCCTGCCCACGCCCTCCAGGCATGCGCGGCTCCACACTGTGCTCAGGGCCTGGGCAGCGCTCCAGGAATGGGTGTGGAGGTGTTGGGACTCCTCCCCAGGGCGACCCTTCACCAGGGAGTCCCTGCCACTCCATTCACCCTCTCAGCCAGCGGGGAGCGCCCTCGGTGGGTCCGCTGCTCTGGGCGCTGGGGAGGAGGAGGCCACGGAGGGCGAGGCCCTGAAGCAGGAGGAGGTCACGGAAGGCAGGCGAGGAACCAAGGACTCATGGCGCCCCCGCTGCCACCCTGAGTCCCACTGGGGCCAGGCCCGGATCCCAGGCTGGGGCAGGCTGGCGGCTCAGGATCGTGTTGCCGACAGCCCCAGGAAGGGCAGCTCAGCGGGATCTGCCTGCAGTATGCAAATTAGCCGCCATCTTTGTTGGCAGTTAATTTGCATATCGTGCTGATTAGCCAATGGGAAGCATAGGGAAGGTACGGTCAATTACCATGTTTGTCTATTATTAGATAGGATACATAAAGATTTATAAATGTTATTTAAGTTAATTATAACATATTATTATATTTATGCCAATTCTTTTTTATTTGTGAGGGTGACCAGGTATCCTCAACAACAGACAGTGTTCTCCAGGCTGAGTGAGTTTGATGTAGTTACACTAAGGCACTTTGGTCCAAGCTGTGCTCTTTCCATTGCCATGAGGCTCTGTATTCTGGGCTCCTTGCAATTATGATAATAAATTTGTGTTTTAATTATTTTCTTTGTTTGAGCTGATAATTGGCCAAAATCTTTCACTCCTCTACCTTTAAACTTGCTTTGTCATTCATGTGCCATTATATTTCACCTGCTATCAATTCCTGATAGCTAAAATGGAATGAACTTAACTTTGGCAACCATGGGACAACTGCTATCTAAACTTTCTGGAACATAAGTAATGTTACTTCTAGGTTCTAAAAGTTGGGCTAAAACCACAGTGTCACATTACTATCAACAAGGACTGATACATTATCAATCACAATTGAATAAAAATTACAAAAAAGTAAATCTGACATATAATTATTGTCTTACTCATTATTTTACTGCACTAGAGGCCCGGTGCATAAAATTCATGCACTGGATTGGGGGGAGAGATGTCCCTCAGCCCAGCCTGCACCCTCTCGCAATCCGGGACCCTTTGGGGGATGTCCAACTGCTCTGTAGTGCTGCTGCAGAGTTGGAAGAGGCACCCACCGCAGCTGCACTCGCCAGACATGAGTGTGGCTTTTGACTGAGCGGCACTTCCTCTGTGGGAGCACACTGACCACCAGGGGGCAGCTCCTGCCTTGAGTGTCTGTCCCCTGGTGGTCAGTGAGCATCATAGTGACTGGTTGACTGGTTGTTCCAGTCTTTCTGGTCATTCCATCATAATGGTCATTTAGGCTTTTATATATATAGATGGTCACTAGGAACAAAAGATAAAAGTTCACATAAATAACTATAGTGCTACATTACAAACCAAACCATGAGTTTATGGTTGTTTTTTTTCTCTCCCCTTTATTAGCTAGCCAGTAGCATAACTGGCATTAAGAATGATATTCTCAGGTTTATTTAAAGTTCACATTACAAATTTATAACACATGTGTTCATCTATCCACACAAAGTCACACATGCAGAGCCACATTAATAACTAACCAATGCATTTAGAAAGCATGGATATAAAATATATATTGAGTTGAAAAAAGTTAAAATCAATGGAACTTGGAATTAGATGTGGAAAATAATGGGGAAGGAGTAGTTCTAAATGACTCTCAGTTTCCTGTTACTGGAAAGTAGGTGAGTGACTGTATCAATCAGTACTTTTAGTAGAAATATGGAGTTCTGCTCACTACCAGGATGCAGTATGATGAGTACGATTTTAGGCATGCAATTTGAGCTACTGGCAGTACGCCCAAGTGTACATGTTGAATGGACAAATGATAATATGTCTGGAACCCAGGAGAAATTAGAACGAGATATAGATTTGGAAGACATAAGGTGTACAGTAGGTAAAATCTTAAAAGTGACATCAGAGAAAGAAGAAAAGAGAAGCATATGGTGAACACTGTTGCTTGTTCATGCAATTGCCATCTCCCCTGCCTAAATGATAAGAAGGTCACCATGATGGGGTTCAACAGTCTTGGCACTGAACTTGTTAGACCCTATTTATTTTATGATGGTCTTTATAAGTCAATTTTCAAGTTGATGAGAGAAAAGCCAAATCTCCACCTTTAAGTCCAAGGTATAGAAACCAAAAGCCAAAGGACATTTCCCTAGCCCTCTTCCCACTAAGTCTTCCCCAGACATTTAAAAATACCTACACTCAAACTTTTTGGAGTGATGAAAATATTGGGATAGTAATCATTATTGTAGTGTATATAAATATGCTTGTGTATCTATATCTATTCCTTGATTGTATGCTGATTTTATGACTAAAATCACTTGTCAAATTGGCCTCTTGAGTCTTGACCAATGTTGTCAATATCTTTTATACAATTTGTAGGTTAGAATTAAATATAATATTCAAGATTTGGTCAGACCAGTAGAAACCAGAATAGGATTTTGTGCTTCCTATTTAGACACCATGGTTTTGTTAAGGAAGCAACATTATCTTTTTGAAAGTCTTAAATTTAAGTATTTAATCCATTTAAGGTGATTTTTATGTGTGGTGACATATAACATTTGTAGGCAGTTAAGACCTCCTAGACCAGGGGTGGGCAAACTTTTTGACTCGAGGGCCACAATGGGTTCTTAAATTGGACCGGAGGGCCGGAACAAAAGCATGGGTGGAGTGTTTGTGTGAACTAATATAAATTCAAAGTAAACATCATTACATTAAAGGGTATGGTTTTTTTTTTTTAGTTTTATTCATTTCAAACGGGCCGGATCCGGCCTGCGGGCCGTAGTTTGCCCACGGCTGTCCTAGACCAATTCTCAACCTAAGTTCAAACTTTAAATGTATCTCTGGTAAACTTAATCTTGTTAATTTGATCCCAGATCTTTTTAGATTGTTCCAAATTCTGATTTTTTATAAACACTGACTTTCCTCTCCTCAGTTTTATAGCATTTGTAATTTCATGAGTATATTTTTATTTTGTTCACACTATATTGTTGAGCATAAAGAATGGATTACAAAGATTTTACAGTTCAACCCTGTCTTTATTTAAAATACCTACAATTTATATTTAAATGATTATAGAAAGGTATACATCAAAATGTTAACAATCTTGCCTCTGAGTGATTGAATGATTTATAAGAGTTTTTGGTTATATATTTTTTTGAATTTTTAAATGACCGTATGATTGCATAACAAAATACCAATTTATACAAAGACTTTTATGAGTTTGACTTTTATTTAGATTTCACATATAAGTGACACCATGCAGTATTTATCTTTCTCTGTCTAACTTATTTCACTTAGCATAATGTCCTAAAGGTCCATCCATATTGTAGCAAACATCAAGATTTATTTCTTTCTCATGTCTGAATAATATTCCATGTATATACATATTTTATTATATATTTTTTAATATATTTTATTGATTTTTTACAGAGAGGAAGGGAGAGGGATAGAGAGTTAGAAACATCGATGAGAGAGAAACATCGATCAGCTGCCTCCTTCACACTCCCTACCGGGCATGTGCCCGCAACCAAGGTACATGCCCTTGTCCGGAATCGAACCTGGGACCCTTGAGTCCGCAGGCTGACACTCTATCCACTGAGCCAGACCGGTTAGGGCTATTATATATTTTTAATTTACTTATCCATTCATCCACTGATGAATGCTTCAGTTGTTTCCATAGCTTGACTATTGTAAATAATGCTGCAATAAACATCACCATGCAGGTATCTCTTCAACATCCTGTTTTCATTTCCTTTGGATATAATACCTGGAAATGTAAATCCTAAGCTATATAGTAGTTCTATTATTAACTTTTTTAGGAGCCTCCATACTGTTTTCTATAGTAGCTATATCAATTTACATTTCCGGTAATAGTACAGGAGGGTTCTCTTTTCTCCAAATCGTCACCAACACTTGTTTTCTCTTGTCTTTTTTCTGACGGCCATTCTAGCAGGTATGAGGTGATATCTCATTGTAGTTTTGATTTGCATTTCCCTGATGTTTAGTGATGTTGAGTATCTTTTCATGTGCCTGTTGGCCATATGAATGGCTTTTTTCAAAAAATGTCTATTCAGCTTCTCTGCCCATTTTTTAATTGGATTGTTTTCCTTTTTGTTTGTTGTTTTGGTATTGAAATGTGTGAGTTCTTATATATTTTGGCTATCAATCCTTTATCGAATAGATGGCTTGAAAAGATTTTCTCCCGTTCCACTGATTGCCTTTTTATTTTGTTAATGATTTCTTTAGCTGTGAAAAAAACTTGTTCGTTAATGTGGTCTCGCTTGTTTATATTTGCGTGTTGAAGCTGTCTTAGTGTTAAATCCAAAAAAAATCATTGCCAAGACCAATGTCAAGGAGCTTACCCTCTGTTTTCTTCGAGGAGTTTTACAGCTTCCAGTCTTAAATTTAAGTCTTGAATCCATTTGAGTTGATTTTTATGTACAGTGTGAAATGGGATACAGTTTCATTCTTTTGCATAGGGCTGTTCAGTATTCCAAACGCCATTGATTGAAGAGACTATCCTTTCTCCGTTGTATAGTCTTGACACCTATGTCAAAAATTAATTAGCCATATATGCATGGGTTTACTAGTATTTCTGCATTTTCTGTCTTGTTGCATTGATCTATGTGTCTTTTATACCATACCACAGTGTTTTGATTGCAATCATTTTGTAATATAGTCTGAAATCAGGAAGTATAATGACTCCAGCTTTGTTCTTTATCAAAGGTGCTTTGGCAATTTGGAGTCTTTTGTAATTACATACAAATTTTAAGATTGATTGTTCTATTTCCATGAAAAATGACATTGGAATTTTGATAGGGGTGGCATTGAATCTGTGGATTGCTTAGGGTCGTATAGACATTTTAATAATATTAATTCTTCCAGTCTATGAACACAGATTATCTTTCCATTTATTTATAGGTTTCTATGTACAGATGTTTCACTTCCTTGGTTAAATTCATTCCAAAGTATTTTATTCTTTTTTTATGGAATTGTAAATGGAGTTGTTTTCTTAATTTCTCTTTCTGATGGTTTATAGAAATGCAACTGATTTTCGTATATTGGTTTTCTATCCTGCGAATTTACTGAAACTAATAGTTTGTTGCGTTTTGTAGTTTTTGTTTGTTTTTGGTGTCTTAATTTCCTATATATATCATGTCACCTGCAAATAGAGACTATTTTACTTTCTCCTTTACTATTTGGTTTCCTTTTTCTTATGCCTAAATGCTCTGGAGGACTTCCAGTACTATGTTGAATAAAAATGATAAGAGCAGACATCTTTGACTTGTTCCTGACCTTAGAGGAAAAGCTTTTAACTTTTCATCATTGAGTAGATGTTAGCTGTGGGCTTGTCATTTTAGAGCTTATTATATTGAGGGACATTCCTTCTATACTCGGTTTGTTGGGAGTTTTTATCGTGAATAGCTATTGAATTTTGCCAGATGCTTTTTCTGCATCTATTTTGGGGTTTATCCTATTCTCCTTCGGGGTCTGACAGGAGGAGGGAAGTTCGCCTGCGCTGCAGAGGCCGGAAGCTCTCTCATCACCACAGCACCCGCTCCTCCAATCAAATAGCGCTGAGCGGAGCGCATTGCAAAGCTACTATTTCCTTTTGCCCCGCCCTCCCCCGCTTCCTATTGGCGGGTTTCAAACCCTGGGGAGCCAATGAGAGCGGGCGCCGAGCCTGTCCTCAACTGCGGGCGCGGCCCTTGAAGAGCAACTGTCGCGGAGGGACCATCATGGTGCGATCGGGGGTCTCCGCCGCGGCGGGTGAGTGCTCGGGGCGGCGGGCGGTGCCGCGGAGGCTGCCGGCCCCTCGCCTGCCTTGGTGTCCCCACCCGGCGTCTGGGGACCTGGGGGACGTCCGCGCGCGGGGAGTCCCGAGACCCCGCAGGCACCGTCCCAGCAGGTCCTGCAGCAGCCAAGCGGGGGCGTCCCCGACCCCTAGCTAGTTGGCCCGGGTGGCGCGTCCCAGAGGCGCCAGGCGCCCCCGACCCCCACCCCCACCCCCGGCCCAGAGTTGCCCCGGCCGGCCCGAGCCTGCACTCGTGCGGCCGCAGCGCCCTCGAGGGCGCGGGCCCGGGCCCCACCTCCCGGGAGGGCCGGCGTTGGCCCGGTGTCGGCGATGACAGCTGCCGCCCTGACGCGTCCGGGGCGCTTCGAGAAACGACCGGGCGCTCGAATTTGGGCGCCTCGTCCCCGTGTTGTGGCTCAGCGGCGGCGGGTTTTGCTCACCTGCTGGGACGTCCCAGACCTGGGGCGCGCCGGCCTGGTCAGGGCCCCACCGCTCGTGCTCTGCACGGGCCGCCCTCCGAGCCAGGAGGGCCACGGGTTGTGTTTTGTTTTGCTTTTGGTTGTTTGTTTGTTTGTTTGCCATTATTGGATATTAGCCTTTCCCCAACCACCTGTTTTCCCTTAGTCCTGCCTCTGAGCCTCCCTTGGAGTCTTTCTTTTTTCCCCCCTTTCTGCTGGGACCCCAAGTTTTGCCCTGGTTTTGGAAAAAATTGGTCTGTTTTTTTTATGCCCTAATATAGATAAGAAATATAAAAAAAAAAGAACTTTTGATTTTTTTCCCCCTCCTCCGAAGCTTTGTGTTTAGAAGAAACTAGATAGGTCATTTTTGAACCCCCCAACCTGGCCTGTTTTGTCCTTAATCCCAAAGGAAACCAGGAAGGGTTTGTAGGCAAAAATCATCATCCCAGTTGGGAAAAATACAGTAAGAGCAGGCCTGGCTCGCAGCTCAGTGGGCCAGTAGGGGGAATGTCCTCGTGCAGGTGTGTGTGGTAGCCGAGGACAGTGCCGGTGAGCACGGGTCTGGGGTGGATGACACTGGCTTCGGATCCTGGCTTTGCCACGCTTTAGCTGGTAACTGGGGGCATATTGTCTACCCTCTTTAAATTTCAGACTGTAGGGCCTGAGTATAAATGATATGGTTAACCTTGGTGTTCACTTGGAG